GCTCAATAAAAATATTAAAAATAAAATGTTAATAAGCCACAATAACAATGACAAATACTTAACAAATATACCTTTTCTTGAAGTATTCGAAAACAATAAAAAAACATGTGTTTCGCGACTTTGATTACCAGATCAAATGATATGGCAATGGTGCTATTTTGTCGCAAGAAAGTTTCCATACAAAAGTAATCAGCTGTGCCGCAAGGTGGCAAATTTTTCAACAAATGCGACATTTGGAACAACTTTGCGACGCTTCATGAATCCCACTAATATTCAAAATATTTCCCATCATCGTTTATTTTTGTTTAAAATAAGACTCAATCTATAACAAAAACCAAATAAATCAATCTTGCAAACTTTTGTACAAAATTCACAAAAATTAATCAGACTTTAAAAAATTTGTATCTAAACTTCAAACTTTTTATTTCAGCTATCACTTATAGTTTCATAGATATACGATGGCAATGTTCACGTGTATTTTTCATACATTACATATATTTTATTTTATTTTTTAACAATATAAGATTGTTGAACATCCCTTCATTTTCGTGTATTTAATTTTCTAACATCTGGTAACACCTTTCTGTTCTCCATTATAGCCATTTTGATTTGTTTGCTTCTTTACTTTGTTGCAGAAAAGTAGTGAAATTATTAATCGCGTTTTATATTGTTAAAAAATAAAATAAAATACTGTCGATTTCGCTAAAATTGTCCCAATTTTACTTTGCATTTGGCACAGCAAAGATCAATTTATTTCTACACCGTGGTAAGTTTCTCCATCCCGTCTCACCACGGAGTAAAAAGTTACCGATTGGCACACAACCTTAGTAAACAACATATTATTATATTATATATTATTATTGGTAAAAGTGCAGTTTAGCGGAACCAGGCCAAAATTGATGAAAACAATCGGGACGGGTATTAATCGACGAGCTTTAAAGCGAATAACAATAATCCGAGAGCGGAAATTAATATTTTTAAATCATTAAAGAGTTATATGCAAAAACATTTGCACTTTTCGCACTATGTTTTGATGAATCTGACGCGAATAAATGAAGTAAGTGAACTCAACACGTATTTATTAGTTTTTATACATTTGTGATCTTTTAAGTATACATTTTCGCGAAATTCTGTATTTAATTCCAATATTCCGGTGTTGAAAATCTGCACAACAATATTGTGTAGTTAATATAAATATTATTATTATTATTATTATTATTATTATGGGCCATATGCACCGCGACCTCTAAAGTGGTCTATTGTGCGTGGCCCCCGGCCTATAAGGGAAGGCTCTTAATGTAGCCTAGCACCTCCAAGGGCGTTTTGTTCCAAATTTCAAATGGATTAAGGGTAGCGCCACCAAAGTGGGCTAGTCTGCGCCTAGCGAGAGCATCACATTCACAGAGAATGTGTTCTGGCGTTTCTTCGTCCAGCTCACAGAAGCGACAGACGCTTGATTCTGAAAGATTGATTTTACTGAGGTGGTAACGAAGAGAACAGTGTCCCGTGTAGTACCCAGTGAGAGTTTTGAGGTCCTCTCTGCCTAAATTGATTAGTTTCTTTGAAACTTCGTTTGAAGGGCAGATAAATCGTTTGGCTTGTCTTTGCCCTGGACATTCCATCCAATGCCTGTTGAACATTTTGTCTACCCAGTTATTCATGGTCCCCTTTACATGTGCTTTGGTGAGCCCACAAAAGGGTTCCGGACCATAAAATACTGCGGCAACTCCCTGTTTCGCTAGGCAGTCAGCCTCCTCATTGCCATCATGTCCCTCATGCCCTGGTACCCATCCTAATAAGACTGTATTCTTGTCACCAAGAGCATTTAGGACATTGCGGTAATCATGTACTAGCTGAGAACTTATTTTGTGGGACTTCAGGGCCAGTAGGGCTGCCTGACTGTCCGACATAATGCAGATATATTTCGATGGCGTTCCCCTTCTGAGACATTCTCTGCCACAAATTTCTATTGCATGAATCTCCGCCTGAAAGATGGTGGGGTAGCTACCCATTGGTATCATTTTTTTAAAGTTCGGCCCAAAAATGCCAGCCCCCATTCTACCATTTTCAAGCTTAGATCCATCAGTATACCAAACCTCCCCATTGGGTTTGGTGTATGGGTTCCCTGTATTCCAGAGAGCTCGATCTGCAATGTGTACCTCAAATTTCCTAGAGATTTCTAGTTTTGGAACCATTGCATCGCGCATTTGTAGTATGGGGTCATTAGCGAATTTCATTAGGACCTTCATGTGACCCGTCGTATCTCCGATTTTCAGGTCGGAGGTGTTCAGGATTCTCAGTGCCGCTGTGGTAGCCTCCCTTTCTATTAAAATAGGAAAGGGAGGTATTCCAACCAGGGCGCTGAGTGCATCGGCCGGGCAGGTCTTCATAGCTCCTGTTATGCCAATGCAGCCTATTCTGTGCAATTTACTTAGCTTAGTACTTGCACCTCTTTGTGTAGCCTTAGTCCACCATGCTAAGGAAGCATAGGTTACTATTGGCTTAACGACAGTGTTGAATGACCAGTAGGTCATTTTGGGGGTAAGGCCCCATGTTTTACCAAAAAGTCGTGAACAGGAAAAGAAGGCCTTCATCGCCTTGTTGATAACAGTGTCCAAATGTGCATTCCAGTTAAGTGTTTTATCAAGAGTTACTCCCAGATATTTAGCTTCACTGGAAAATTCTATTTCTGTGCCGCTCAAAGTAAGTTTAGTAGTAGATAATTTCCTCCTTCGAGTGAATGGAACAATAATAGTCTTTGCAGGATTGATGGTTAGGCCTTTATCCTCACACCATTTGTGTGTGATACGTAGGGCTTGTTGCATGCGGTTGGTGATAGTTTCGTCATGAAGCCCTGTTATGCAGATTACCAGATCATCTGCGTACCCTTGCGTATTAAAGCCTTGGCTGTTCAGTGTGAAAAGGAGTTCGTCTACAACCATAGTCCACAAAAGAGGAGAGAGTACACCCCCCTGAGGGCATTTTCTTGTGGCTGTTATCGATTCTATCGTGCCTCCTAATTCCAACCTGATGTTTCGTGTTCTTAACATTGATAACACCCATTGATTTATGATTGGGCTTACACCCTTTCTTAACAAGGCATCTTTTATTGCCTTATATGATGTGTTATCAAAAGCCCCTGAAATATCAATAAAGGCGCAAAGGGCTATATTTTTTGACTCCAGAGCCTTCTCAATTTTTGAAGTAAGGCTATGAATGGCAGTCTCAGTGGATTTTCCTGGTTGATAGGCTAATTGGTTCTTATTCAGAGGTCGCTCCCTTAGGTTGACTTCTCTGATGTACTGATCCAGTATTTTCTCCATGCCTTTTAGAAGAAAGGAACTGAGGCTAATTGGTCGGTAGGATGACGGTAATTGTTCCGGCTTACCCATTTTGGGTAGAAACACGACCATATGCTGGGAATGTGACCCAACAAGAGCGAAGCTCTATAGAGTTTAGAAAGGACCGGCGCTATGTGTCTAATTCCATGCTGCAGGAGACATGGATAGATTCCATCCGGTCCTGGTGATTTGTATGGGCTGAATGTTGATAAAGCCCATTGCACCCGCTCGACAGTGGTCAGCTTCGTAGCAAAGCTTTGTTCTCTTCCAGAGGTGGATGTTGGAGCACCCAATTCTGGTCGACAGTAGCCTGATATACAGCGCGGGAAGTGAGTATCCAGCAAGAGTCTGCTGGTCTCACCCGGATGCTGAGTGTAGCTCCCATCTGGTCTCTTGAGGGTGCCAATTGTATTCCTGTAATCCCTTGTTAGAGCGTACTGCCTCTGGAAGGCTATTTATTTCCTCACAGTGGTTTCGCCAGCTAGCTCGTTTGGATTTCCTTAGCTCCTTGTTGTAGGAAGTTAGCGCAAGTTTATACGGATTCCAATCACCCGTATTTTTTGCTCTATTGAATAGTCTTCTGGCCTGGCATCTCATTTGCTCAAGCTTCTTACTCCACCAAGGCACATCTCGTTTGGATTTTACCTTTCCTTGGGGGCAACTGCTGTTGAAAGCTATTACAATATCTGAGTGAAGCTGTTCAGCTTCATTCTCAAGCTCCTGTTTGGTTGTAATGGGGTGTTTGGGGCTGTTTCCGCCCTCTTCTATAGTAAAGCGGAAGAGTTCCTAGTTCGTTTTCCTGGGATTTCTGAAAACTAGTTCGTGTTCAGGAAAGAGACCCATGTCGAATTCTATATGCATGTGGTCCGACATTGATACCTCCCCGGAGACACGCCAGTTTGGGACAGATGATGACATGTTTTGACTGCTTAGAGTTAGATCCAAGACCTCCCCCCTTAAAGCATTTCTAAAAGACGGTTCATTGCCACGATTTATAATATTTATATTATGACTACTAATAAACTCGAGGAGGTACTCACCCCTTTTGTTGGTATCGGTGCTGCCACAAACAGTGTTATGTGAATTGGCGTCACAGCAGAAGATCCAGGGTTTACCACTCTGCTGGCAGTGCTCCACGAAAGCCTTTACTTCTGCTGTTGGGGCCATCTCCTCCTCACCCGGAAAGTACGCTGAGGCAAGTACTGCCTCTTGTACACCCCTTGGAGTGGGAATTTCGGCCCAAACCGCAACCAGATCCGCCGTCATGTACTGTAATAGAGGAAGAAACGTTAGTTTTTTCAGACCTTTGACCTCACCGCGTAGTATCCAGGGTTCCTGGATGAAGGCTATACCTAG